TACAAATACAAGAAACAAATTGTAACTATGTGCAATGTAAATCATGAATAATGTAGGAAGAATTGCACACAGATGAAGAATTCACTATATATTCTGTATAAGGATAAAAACCAAAGGGCCATAATTAAGTCAAAAATTATCCAATCACAAAACCCCGACAATATGCGCCAGGACACTTAATGACAAAGCTTCTTTGACAGTTTGAACAAAATCCCTTGAGAAATGTAGGAGGAGTTGCACACAGAAGAAATTGTTCACTATATATTCTGTATAAGGAAAACAAAGGACCATAATTAGGTCAAATATTATCTAATCACAAAACCCCGACAATATGCCCCAGGGCACTTGATAACAAAGCTTCTGTGAAAGTTTGGTCAAAATCCTCTGAGAAATGTAGGAGTTGCACACAGAAGAAATTGTTCACTATATATTCTATATAAGGAAAAAAAACAAAGGGCCATAATTAGGTCAAACATTATCCAATCACAAAACCCCGACAATATGGGCCATGGCACTTGATGACAAAGGTTCTGTGAAAGTTTGGTCAAAATCTGCTGAGAAATATAGGAGGAGTTGCATACAGAAAAAATTGTTCACTATATATTCTGTTAAAGGAAAACAAGAGGGCCATGATGGCCCTGAGGTCGCTCACCTGTATATAGGCCCCCCCCACCCCCCCCCCCCCAACGTTGCAGAGCCAATTTAACCCAAGGGCTTTTATTTGCACAAACTTGGTAGACACCCATAAGAAGATGTTTCATGCTAAACATTTAAGCTCTAGCTCATTGGGCTTTTTAAAAGAAGATTTTTTTTAAGTTTTTACTATACACATATAGTTAAAAACAATGACACCCCTGGGGCCGGGCCAGTTTTGACCCAAGGGCTTCTATTTGAACAAACTTTGTAGACACTTACTAGAAAATGTTTCATGCTTAATATCTAAACTCTAGCTATTTGGGTTTTTTCAAAGAAGATTTAAAGTTTTTGCTAAACACATATAAAGAAAATCAATGACCCCCGGGGCGGGGCCAATTTTGACCCCTGGGCTTGTATTTGAACAAACTTGGTAGACACCTATTAGAACATGTTTCATGCTAAATATCTTAGCCATAGCTCTTTGAGTTCTTTAAAAGAAGATTTTTTAAGTTTTTACTATATGCATATAGGGAAAATCAATGACCCCCCGGGGCGGGGCCAATTTTCACCCAGGGGCTTTTATTTGAACAAACTTGGTAGACACCCATTAGAACATGTTTCATGCTAAATATCTTAGCTCTAGCTCTTTGGGTTATTTAAAAGAAGATTTTTTAAGTTTTTACTATATGCATATAGGGAAAATCAAAGACCCCCTTTGGCGGGGCCAATTTTCACCCAGGGGCTTTTATTTGAACAAACTTGGTAGACATCCATTAGAACATATTTCATGCTAAATATCTTAGCTCTAGCTCTTTGGGTTCTTTAAAAGAAGATTTTTTAAGTTTTTACTATATGCATATAGGGAAAATCAATGACCCCCCCGGGGCGGGGCCAATTTTGACCCTAGGGCTTTTATTTGAACAAACTTGGTAGACACACACTAGAAGATGTTTCATGCCAAATATCTAAGCTCTAGCTCTTTGGGTTCTTTAAAAGAAGATTTTTTAAGTTTTTACTATATGCATATAGGGAAAATCAATGACCCCCCGGGGCGGGGCCAATTTTGACCCTAGGGCTTTTATTTGAACAAACTTGGTAGACACTCACTAGAAGATGTTTCATGCCAAATATTTAAGCTCTAGCTCTTTGAGTTCTTTAAAAGAAGATTTTTTAAGTTTTTACTATATGCATATAGGGAAAATCAATGACCCCCCGGGGCGGGGCCAATTTTCACCCCAGGGCTTTTATTTGAACAAACTTGGTAGACACCTATTAGAACATGTTTCATGCTAAAAATCTTAGCTCTAGCTCTTTGGGTTCTTTAAAAGAAGATTTTTTAAGTTTTTACTATATGCATATAGGGAAAATCAATGACCCCCCGGGGCGGGGCCAATTTTGACCCCAGGGCTTTTATTTGAACAAACTTGGTAGACACTCACTAGAAGATGTTTCATGCCAAATATCTAAGCTCTAGCTCTTATGGTTTTTTTAAAAGAAGATATTTAAAGTTTTTTCTTTCGGTTGCCATGGCAACCAGAGTTTTGCATGGAATTAAATTCGTTGAACAATTTTTAAAGGTGACCACCAAAGGAACATTCCTGTGAAGTTTGGATGAAATTGGCTGAGTGGTTTATGAGGAGATGTCATTTAAAGTAAAAGTTTACGGACGGACGGACAGACGGACGACGGACGGACGCCGGACGAAAAGCGATCACAAAAGCTCATCCTGTCACTTTGTGACAGGTGAGCTAAAAACAAAGGGCCATAATTAGGTCAAATATTATCCAATCACAAAACCCCGACAATATGCGCCAGGGCACTTGATGACAAATGTTCTGTGAAAGTTTGGTCAAAATCTGTTGAGAAATATAGGAGGAGTTGCGCACAGAAGAAATTGTTTACGCACGCCCGCCCGCCCATCCGCCCGCAGACATACCTCAATCTAATAACCAGTTTTTTCCTTCGGAAAACCTGGTTAAAAATTATTTGACTAAATCTTAACGTATCCCTGTTTTATCTATAAATAGCTAAAATAAGAAAATAAAAATGACCCAGAAAAAATAGCAAACTGTGGGAGATCCAACAAGGTGTTACTACACTAGATGCCTCTGAATAGCATTGTGGTACAAAATAACATGATGTTGAGACAGGAGACAACAAAACATACTAAATATTCTTAAAATTGGTGTGAAAAAGTCCAACACAGAATAGTGCGAATACATAAACAACAATGAAAAACTCTTTAACTTAATAAAAACTTGAATATATATTATTTGCTTAAAACTGGCTATAAAGAATTGATAAAACTTGTTTGTTTACAAATATCATGTAAAAACAATAAATAAATATTATGTGAGCCTATAAATAACATCTAAAGGTACAAACAAACAACTGCAACACTACTAACACAAATATAACAGCAACAGAGATTCTTTAAATATTTCCAATTCTCATTTGTGGCATACTGGAATAATCTGAACCAGTATTCTACAGATATAGCTATACCATCAAAGGTTTGTACAGGTTTTTATACTGTATAATCTGAACCAGTATTCTACAGATATAGCTATACCATCAAAGGTTTGTACAGGTTTTATATACTGGTATAATCTGAACCAGTATTCTACAGATATAGCTATACCATCAAAGGTTTGTACAGGTTTTATATACTGGTATAATCTGAACCAGTATTCTACAGATATAGCTATACCATCAAAGGTTTGTACAGGTTTTATATACTGGTATAAAAGAATACAAGAGTCATCAACACATGTACTTGCCAATGCTGCTTACACACAGTTAAAACATTGCATTACAATGATAAAGTTGAATGAGGAAAACAATCACACACACAAACAAACAATCTGTTCTAGCATCAATGCCAGGGCAGACTTTGGCCTTGCAACCTTCAAAACCCCAACCAAGTATAAATGCCCATGCAAGCTACATGTACATTCATACTAAATATCTATCAAGCTAACTACATATCTGTAAATTAATGTTATATTAGTAATAATCTATTTTTAGAATCAGTGGCCTTGACCTCAAATACCTAAAAATGACCTCTGCTTGATACCTAAATTCTATAGAATAGATAAGATATAAATATTTAATAACTGTTTTAAAACCCTTTAACAATGTGAATTAAAAACCAGTCAATATCATTTTGGTCTTCAATTATGTAAAAAAACAACAACAACAACACACAAAACCTGATGAAAAATTTAACTTTCAAATTGATAAATCACTTATAACATAAATGTTTACCAGTTTAACAGTTCCTATATTCATATAGGAAAGGCCATACAATATTAGAGAACCACCCATTAACAATGGTGATATAATACAATAGGCCCTGTTTTACTGTGTACCAGTATTTGTCAATGAGCATACATTTACAAGTAAAAAAAAAGAAAAAAAAGCTATTTTATTACATGCCTTATCATATGCATAGGGACTCTTTGCTACATAGTAGCTGGAGAATGTTTTCTCAATTTTATGCTACATAGTAGCAAAAGTAGTAATTTATCATAATGCGCTTCAATATACCATGATACGATGCATTTAGAATACACTTTCACTTTGGTATGGTAATAATTTAAAGTCATACCAACAGTGTTAAAGTCACATTATGACTATCCAGCCTGGGAACAAAAAACCAATATGGCCTTTAAGTACAAACTAGAGCTATCACTTAATGTGATTCATACCCCCGCCTGTGATCTTAACTTCTTACCAAAAAAATAAGTGGTCTGAAGTAAAATTGGAACTCGACCTATATTTTATGATATTTCATCTGTGTACCAATAATTACGATAAATTGTGTTGTTAAAGAGTATAAACATCTGTTTTCCATTATTTTTGTAAAAGATATTTAGTAACAGTGACCTTGACCTAAACACAAAGTGGTCAAAACAATCCCAACCCCGAGTCATCATATAAGCTTGCTGTATACCAAGTTTCATTGCAATATCTCATTCCTTACTCTAGTTATCATACAGAAACTATTTTTCTATATTTAGTAACAAAGACCTTGACCATAGGGGATCAAAAAAGCAATCCCAACTAGGGTCAACATACAAGCTTGCTATATTCAAAGTTTGATTAATTTCTCATTGCTTACTCTAGTTATCATCCGGCAATGATTTTTTAACTTTTAGTAACAGTGACCCTGAACACAGAAAGTACAAAAGCAATCACAACCATGGTCTTCATATGAGTTTGCTTAATATCAAGTGTGATTACAACATTTCATTCCTAACTAGTTATTGTCCGAAAAACCATTTTTTCTATTTTCATTAACAGTGACCTTGATCGCTGGGGGGTCATTCCAAACTTTACTGACCGACAAAGCTAACTCCTATATACCCCCCTAAACCTTAAGTCAATGAAGTTTTATAAAAATAAGCAGAGGACCTTCTCCATTTTGTATGCCACATAGCAGCTCATAAAGATTCAATTATTCAGCATATATGCCAAAATAATTACTTGAAAATTAATCAAAGAAGAATTAAAACAATCAAAATTCTGAAAACGATCAGTGGAATGTTTGTTAAAATAACAAACAAGAATAAAATAATTCTCCCAGTAAAGAAAGAATTGCATAAGTGAAGTATCTTGTTGCCATGCATGAAAAATTAAATGTCATAAGTTTCTATGGTTACGACACATTTTTCACATCAATAGTGCTATGATAGAGCACTTGTTCCAGGACTATCAAGGTTATTCGTTGGACTTTCCAGATCAATTGTTGATGGATATTGGTCATGTAATTTCTCCAACTTTTTCTTGTGCTCCAGTTTGAATATACTTTCTTTTGTTGTTTTGAAACAGTCAATTCTGAAATATATATGAAAACTTGTTTAACCCTTTCCCCCCATGAGCATATTGTGAAAAATGGCCATTTTCACTGAAAAGCCTCCTGTTACAAGTTCAAACTGCTATGAAAAATGCTTCAATACTAATCAAACTTGGCACAAATGTTGACTGGACCATTGCCTTTGTAACGACATGCTCAGTCTTAAATTTCCTGTTACCATGGCAACGAGGGGACATCTCAAAATTGCCAAAAATCACTTTTTTGCCTCCATTTTTTCCATCAAAATTTATTTCAAAGTGCTGCAACTTCTCAAGGGATTGAGATAGAGTCAAAGGCTTTTCAGCGTTGGTTACACGTTACCTTATGATCAACCTGGGGTCATTTTAAGCCTCTCACAAGTACAAAATTTTCTTGGCAATGAGGGGGACTCCGCCCCCCTTCAAACCCCCCAAAGGGGGCACATCCCCCTTCTGGCAACCCCCTGATGTAATATTTGGATGGGGGACGGCGCCAAAAAAATTGTTCACTTTTTTTAACAACATTTCTCAAACAAAAGACAGTGTTTGGGGCCTAAATAGGGCATTTTTTCACTGTTTGAGGGGCAAAAAGCCGTCGAAACACGCTTATATAAGGGAAAAGGTTAATATCTAACAGAAACAATTTGAATGTATATAGTTAATTGGAAAATTTTAAGTATACTTACCAGGTGGTGATAACATATGCATTAACTAGTCATGAACTGTCACCTGTAATTCACTTGTTTGTCTGTTCTAAAAATAACTTTACCCTCTTTTAAAGAAAGATGTCCATATGTTCTGGCAGTCTAATGAGTCACCAGATTAACTGAGAAACATGCAAGGCACGTTAAATTAAGAGGGTATAATAGTGTTATCATTAGGTAAGTATACATTCATTTAATTTCAATTTAATACTTAAATTTTCTAATTTTATTTCACATCCCTACTAATCTGATGATAACAATAAGAATTTCTACAGGGTTGAAGGTTTTCAGTATTGCTCATAAGATTAACATATACAAACAATATACATTACTAAAAATCCTATTTATACATATACATGTACATACAAATAAATGTTAAGATACTTCTTAACACTATTTACCCTCCTTTAGTAACAATAATGTGATTACAAGCTATATTTTATCACTGTTTTCTCATATCTTTTATGAGACCAACAAGACCTGGCGCGACCTACTCTGGAACTTATTTTCCAATGGGAGGTCTTAAATTGAAAACAACCTTTAACTGTCTTATAATAAATCTATGCTGACCAATAGGAAATTTGTCAACTGATGGTAAAACTGATGACAGCATTGATCTGTAATCTGCTTTAGGTCACATTAATAGGTGGTATAACACTGCAAACCTTCATTACAGAATTAAAATTGCCTAACATGGGTCAATTTCCCTTTCCCAGCAACTACACTCACTGTATCTTGCTTTATACCTTCACACCATGAGGCTGCTGTGAGAAGTTTTCTAGATTTCTTTGAAAATCCCTCCGTTCTAAAAGATTTTTTGTTAATAGCCATGCAGTCAAATTTAACATGTGTTTCGATAAACAATTTTAAGGTTTGGCCTTTACAGGAAGGTAACAGGTCTCAAGAACGTTCAACTTCCGCGTCACATTGGCAGTCCTCGTGACTGGTTTTGTTCTTAGGAATATCTGCCATATATTCCAGGTATTCTGATTCAGAATTTAGGACTTTGTTCCATCCTGTTTGTTTATACTGTACAAATATTGCAGTGTCTATTTTTATGAAAAAAACATGTGTGTTTTTGGGATATAGAAACATGTGATTGATAGTACAGTGAACTGCTTCCATTCCCAACCAATTAATGTTGTTTTTTTCTTTCTGTTTACTGACCTTTATCATGTCTATCAATTTGATTTCCCAGACAGCCACCACAAAGCTTCCGGAAAGCATTTGTCATTAATGTTACTGACCACTCTAAAGGTCAGTGACCTGATATTGACTTTTAAGATGTTGACTTTAACCTTTAGCCTGCTTAATCTACCTATGCGACAAGTGGAGACAACAAGTGGAGACAACATGTGGAGACCGCAATATGAGCAGCGCCATCTTACCAGTGGACCATGGTCCGCATGGTACACTATAAAGTCAATACATATTTTGAAGTTTCCCTTAAAATGATTTACAGATTTGTCAAGATTGTAAGTGGGACAAGTCCACTTATTTATAAGATATTTAGCATGGTTAAGGTTCACCACCTACAACCTTCTATTAGTATCTCTAAGTTTTTTCTTTATACAGTATTTTTCCATGAATATGTCTGTTTTGTCTATGTGTAGCTGAAATTAAGGCATTTTTTGGGTCAGGGTATTGCCTTCTTAGAAAAAAAACTAATGTTTGTCTGCTTTATTTAAGGACTATATTCCCATTCTAGATTTGGGATAACTGAAATTTCATGACAAGTTTTCTTTTTTGTTTGTTTTAAATTGCTCATTTGACAGTTAATCAAAAATATTTTTCTTTATCTCTTTTTTTTTTAATTTCAGTTTATTCTTAAAATCTTTTTCGATAATACTTTCACTATTTATTTGAAAATCCCATTTATACATATCTGGAAAATCAATGCCTGTATCAGCAACTGTAGCTTGTCTATTAACAAAATGAAAAACTGCTACTGAATAGGCTGTCTGATCATGTGAATGTAATGCAATAGTGAAAATATTAGTTCTAGACAAGAGAGCTGAATCAATGTTTTATGTTCTGTATCCAGAAAATGATAAAAAATGGAAACCTTGAAGGAGTTACAGGCTCCGTTTAATTGAGCCTGTTCATGGACAAAAGTGGTATCTAAAAGCTACCCCCCCACACACACACACACAAAGCCTCCCCATTCTCCTGATTAACCTAATCTTAATGCCTGTATATGATCATAGTAAGAAGTACACTTGAAACACTACAAGAAGCTCATACCTGTCATATATTATAGCGTCCACCTTCAATTTCTTGAGTTTATCAATAACATCAGCATTGTTGTTGTCCTCACCCCAGGTGAACAAAATGAGGCCACTATTCTTGACATAGTCAATCAGAGATAAATCTCTCAACAGAACCTGTGACATTGGGTTTACACCCTGAAAATATAAATACATGACACCTTTAAGAAATTATATATACATGTACCGGTACTGTAAATATATATATAACAACACAAAAAAACATAATATCTTTAAGCTTTTATGGACCAAAACAAAAGAAAGAGGTGCAGGCTTGGTAGGAGTTTTAATCACAACCCTATAGATGTCAAATTGGTAGATTCCATGGTTGCTTTAATTGCTGGAGAAAGATACCCCACTTATCAGCTTTTGAAGCACTTAATAACAGAATGCATAAAATATAAAAGAAGTCAACCTCTTAGTTCATAATTTATATTTACCTTTTATTGTATAAATTTTTCAAAACAAATCCAGTAAAACAAAAAGTTCAAGATCACAACCATTTTGATTAACCCTCATAATTACAATAACAAAATCCTAATAATTAATATACTGACCAACAGATCGTGAGCAATACAGAATTCTGCTGCCATAGGAACAGATCTTGTTCTCATATCCCCATAGGGTTCATACATTGTTGTGTCAGCTTGTGTCAGAAACAACACTGGGAACCGATTCTGCTTCAGACGTAAGCTTAAAATGAAAAATAATTATTTGAAATTTTCTTAAAGTGACATTATGCCCATCCAAGGGTTTATAGTGAGTGAACGGGTGAAGATCAAAATATGTTAAATAATTAAGTTCACATAAAAAATAAATAACACACAGATCAGAATGAAATTTCTATAAATGTCCATTAGAATTTACGTATAATGCTTAGTTTATAAAAAGAGTGGGGCAGTCTTTTTAAAATCTATGCAGATTTTTAATTTTACCCTAAACATTTTCCAATATCAACTGTTGGTCAAACACCATTTTCACAGTCAATCTTTTGAAATATAAAGTCAATTCAGCTCAACTTGACTATCAAAATATGAACATTATGTCTTTTTAAAGTAATATAACTTTAAAAATTCAAAATTGTCGAATTTTGTTTAAGCCTGTACTAGGGGGCGCTGACAGTAGCTTGCAATTACCACTACCGTCCGTGAATAGACTCAATCAAACCGAGCTTGAAACATTTTCAATTTTGCCATGTTGGGCTTTCTTAAGGGATTCTGTTTTCTTTATCTTAACAGTGAACAAAATTCATAACAAAACCATTATTGCCCATTTTGTATTGAATGTTAAGTATCTTTGTTATTCATACATGCTAATCTAGATATGTTTAACTCATTGTTCTTAATACACCATACAGCTTTTTGAATGAAATAGTTAAAAACAACAGCTGTCAGTGGGACAGCTTGCTCGAATATCCTCAGTGCTGGATAGTAAAATAAGAGCCTTATGTAGAAAATCCCTAGATCATAAAGGGCCATAATTCTGTCTAATCAATGTTAAGAGTTATGGGCCTTGGACAATGACCTCCTTTTGTGTTTTAAATAATTTCCACATAGTTTTTGTGACACCATTGCATGCAAAAGCTTAAACAAATGTGTCATGCCAACACCTAGATAAGTATAAAAGCTCTCCTTATAAGTCCATGAATAGTTGAGCCAACAATATTTCTTTTAGTAAAATCCATTATCAACATTTCAAGTTTCATACAAGAGTGATCTTTTTTAGATTTACTTAGGTCAGGACTGACATCACATGAAAGATATTCTTTGCTCAACTTTGACATAAAAAAATATGGTCGTCATCAGATCTACATAAAAGAAATAAGTAGATCTAAACTTTAGTCAGATTGATCAAACACAGATATAAAGTATATATAAATACATACGCCACACAAGTATCAGGGTCAAAAGTTGAGAACACAATACGTCTACCACCATGATGTTCAAACACAACACGTAATATTGTGTCTATAAATACATTAATATCATAGTACCCTTCTTGCTCGTGTGTACCAGTCTGTAAAAAAAATAAAATAATGTGTTCCAGTCTGTAAAAAAAATAAAATCATGTGTACCAGTCTGTAAAAAAAATAAAATCATGTGTACCAGTCTGTAAAAAAAATAAAATCATGTGTACCAGTCTGTAAAAAAAATAAAATCATGTGTACCAGTCTGTAAAAAAAATAAAATCATGTGTTCCAGTCTGTAAAAAAAATAAAATCATTTATGCTAATGGATATTTCTGTAAATATTCATTGGAATTTACCTGTAACATTCAATTTATAAAAAGAGTGGGACAACCTTTTTATATTTAAGACAGACTTGGATTTTACCCTAAACATATTTAACTTTTGGTTGGTTAATCACCATTATAACCGTCAATCTTTTGAAATATATACACTGTAGCCTCGATAACTCGCTCTTCACTATAACGCTAATCTCAGTAGAGCGCTCATAGACCTTGGCTCCCAAAAAAAAAAAAAATTTTTTTTTAAGTAGACCTAGATTTATAGCGCGCTATAACGCTTGCTCAATTTGACTGTCAAGTACAATAAACAATTGTTATTAGGACATTTATGATCGCCAAAGGTGTGAAAAACATGCCCAGGTAAGCGTTTATCCGCTCTTTTGTTGTTTTACCTGTCCATCAGTCATGCATCAAATTGTTTCCAAAATCTCAAATTCATATCATAACTGTTACATTGGCATTCGGTGGCGAGTAGAAATAAACTGAAATTCACACACATATCTTTGACATGTAAACCTCGCTGAATTAAATAACCCACAAGCCCAAAATCAATTTAAAATCCTGCACTGTAAATAGAGCGGCCATGACAGGTGGTAATTGGCGTTTGATTTACTAGGGGACACAACTAAAGCTGGACTGTAAATTACAGTGTCATTTACAGTCCAGCTTTAGTTGTGTCCCCTAGTTAATAAAACGTCATTACAGTAATGGCTACCTGTTTTACACTACATTCATGATTTATAATTTTCTTTCGAAAGTTTTTCCTTTCTTTTAAATATAATTAGTATTATTTGTGAATATAATATATGTTTACATCATTGAATGGTTTTAGAAAAAGATAATGTCGATATTCATTGAACAGTAAGTAAAAAAATCAGCGTTAAATATATATGCAGTGGGTGGGGTAATGCGGTAATTTCGCAATGAGCGTTCTAATGAGAGCCTCGTTAGAACGCGGTGTTGAGACATTGGACCCCAACATGAGCGTTTTAATGAGGCTGAAGTGTAGTCAATTCAGTTCAAGTTGACGATAAAAAAATGTACAAAAGGTCACTTTGATAGAGTTTTGCCTAATCTAACAACTGTGACATGACTATTTTTCTATTTTATAATTACTCATCCTTGAAATAACAAGAGGGTCATGATGGCCCCGAAATCGCTCACCTGTATTTAGGCCCCGGGCGGGGCCAATTTTAACCCAGGGGCTTTTATTTTAACAAACTTGGTAGACACCCACTAGAAGATGTTTCATGCTTAATAGCTAAGCTCTAGCTATTTGGGTTTTTTAGAAGAAGACTTTTAAAGTTTTTACAAAATACAAATAAGGAAAATCAATGACCCCCCGGGCGGGGCCAATTTTGACCCCAGGGCATTTATTTGAACAAACTTGGTAGACACTGACTAGATGATGTTTCATGCCAAATATTTAAGCTCTAGCTCTTTGGGTTCTCTAAAAGAAGATATTTTATTTTCTTTCGGTTGCCATGGCAACCAGAGTTCTGCTTGGAATTAAATTCTTTGAACATTTTTTAAAGTTGACTACCAAACGAACATTTCTGTGAAGTTTGGATGAAAATTGGCTCAGTGATTTATGAGGAGATGTCGTTTAAAGTAAAAGTTTACTGATGGACAAACAACGATGGAAGAAAAGCGATCACAAAAGCCCACCATGTCACTTTGTGACTGGTGAGCTAAACAGGTAAGCTGACATACCCTTAGTTCCTGAGGATATTTGAGTTCTATATTAAAGCCTGTATGATTGTCTACAGCATTAAGACAACTCTCTAACGTGGGAAATGTCTCAAGGTCAGCAGGCAAATCATCCTCTGAATTCACTTCATCTGTAAATCATACAGCATATTATTTCAATTTTGTTTACTTTCCTAATATACTAGGTTAATATCAATGGGTTAGACAGAGGATTCGGAAAACCCAATAAAATGGTGATCGGTTTGGAATTTCCCAATTCTCTATCTATAAACCCAGTGATTGGTTATTTTTCTCACTCTTTCACATAAGAAACTAATTAAAAACATCAGTTCAACTACTTTTTATGCACATTACAACCATGTTGGAGAAACAGGGTGGAATTTAGGTTGGTAATTTCCTTAGTTGACAAAAAGCATTTTACATTTGCAAAAATATAATTATTCTACTGATCCAGTATTTGACAAATATCCAATGATGTTAGCTTTACATATAATAAAATTAGTGTTTATGAAGAATTCAGTCCATATTTCAATAATTGACAAAATTTTAACCATTAACTTATATGTAAAAATAATGTCAAAGTCCAGTAACCTGACACTTACATGTTCATGTATTCACATGTTCATGTATTCAGAAGACAATGGGATTAAGTTTTTACAATATATTTGATAACTGTATCCTTTGGCACAAATACTTGTATCCTATTAGAGCAAAGGTCAGCAACATTTGTATACTTAAAAGCTGTCTTAAAATATAAACAATTTTGCAGGGAAGTCTATGCTTATTTGAATCTTACATATAGAAAACGTAAAATTATGTTAACATTACTCATGGCTATAAAGCAGCATGCCTCCAGATTTATGCCAATTTTCATGATTTTTTTAACTTAGTATGTGAAATCGTATAATAATGTGTAGCGACCAAAAGGAAGCAATTTACAGCTAATTAATTGTAACAATATCTCATGTAAATAACTAAAATGAGGTAAAAATGTGCAAAAGTCCTTACTGCATTAGTAAGATTCATAATATTGAAAAAAATCAGTCATTAACCACATATAACATGTCAATTATTACTTGAATCTTTAATATTTTTACATTCCTAAAGTCTAAGATATATATTTTTTTAAGTTTGATTTTATTAAAATAGTATGGCTTATCTTGAGGCATGTAGCTTTAATTAATGTCATGAGTTACTGAACTTACCAGGGTTAGCTGGCCTTGGCTTGTGCCATAACTGTAAAACAATTATCACAGTTTTCAATTACACATAATAAGAATCAAATGTATAATACTAAAAAATACATTATACAATTCAATTACACAACTGAAACAATTTAAACATGTCCAAATGACCATTTATAACTCATTTAAAGAGCTCCACTGATAGCTCAAATAGCTTAAAAACATAAATTTTGAAATTTTTACATAGATCAAGTGGGGGCATTTAAAACAGAATATATGCAAAAAGTATTAAAGAAATATACTCAGAAGTAAATTGAATAATTGTTTTTAGCATGATTCTTAGTCTGATTTAAGTTAATTTTTTTATTATTATATTTATTTTACTAAAATCAATTAAACAGGTATGAAAAAGTAATTTATGCAAGAAATTAGGAGTATTTATCAATATTTTGGTGTATCGCCAATATTTGTCATCCAATATTGGTAAATTGTCAATATGCTTTCCACTGAATCAAATACAGCTCTAATTCAAACAGATTATAGATGGCAACATCTAAAAATCACAATAGTTCACTTCTGAATAATCAGGTCTGACACAAATGTTAAGGTCATTGTTTCTTTATGCTGTAATTACTAAAAATTTAATACCTTCATATTTTGAAGCTCTTCTAATTTGAGATCTTTCACAGGAACTTCTAACAGCTCCAATCCACCGTTCTTTTTCTAAAATATATCATCAGTATTATAATAAGCACAGTGGTTAGGTTAACAATTTAGCGACTGCATTAGTAAGAGCTGTAACTAAATATATTTCTAGAAGTAAAATTGATATTTGTCATCAAGAGGCATTTTCATATTCTAATGAGTTTGTTTTAATTTAACAAAAATGTTCTTTGTATAAACAAACATTTTTTTTGAGTGCATGTTCAAATGCTCAAGTATATTTGTTTGTTTTTGTTTTTGGGTTTTACGTCACACCAACACAGTACAGGTCATTTGGCAACATTCCAGCTTTACTGGTGGAGGAAGCCCTCAGGTGCTCTCTGTGCATTATTTCAGGCACAAACGGGTACCTGAGTAGAACCACCGACGTTCCATAAGCTAGCTAGATAGCTTCCTAACTGAAAGAATCCAAAGTCCCTGTCTGGATTCGAACCCACAGTGGTGAGGGGTAAGTGGTTTGAAGTCAATGACCCTAACCACTCGGCCATGGACGCCCCTATTCAAGTATATTAAAATGTGCATTTACCTTCTTGTAAGTTATCTTCACTTTGAAATCATGGTACACTATTACTTCTTTGTCTTTTGTAAGATGTACATCAAACTCGACAAAGTCAGCACCCTGTAGATAAATATAAAAAATTCATTGATAGATTTTTAGTAGGGGTGTCACGTTTAAATGGGTACAGCAGTTTCAACCTATAATTTGGTTAGAAAATTCAATAACCCTGGTTAGTAATTGATTAAGGGACGAAAAAGTTTTAAATGATTCTAGATATTCCTTTAGTTTTTTTTTAATGACAAGATATGACAATTGTTTATATTTTAATTGTTCTCTACAATGTATATTTTCCAGTTTGATCGAATACGGTAATACCCGAGCGGAGAATAGTTTATATATATTTATCTATATTTGGATATGTATTGTAATCATTTTAAGTACAACAAATTATGAACAAAATAGCCTATCTTGTCATAAAGAAACAAAGTTAATGTTGGAAATCTAAGAATTTTATTAATACGGTCAGTTAAACGTTTAACACAGTTATTACGTCGCCGTTTAAACTGTTAGCATTTTTTTTCTAACCGCGACACCCCTATTTTTTAACCCTTGCCCTGCTAGAACCTATCGTTTAGCCTTCATCACAAGTATAGAGCCAGGATAGCCTGCACATATGAGCCGTGTCATGACAAAACCAACATAGTGTGTTTGCGACCAGCATGGATCCAGACCAGCCTGCCTGCGCATCCGCGCAGTCTGATCAGGATCCATGCTGATCGCTATCAGTTTCTCTACTTGTTATATGGTCTGTAAGCGAAAAGCATGGATCCTGATCAGACTGTGCGGATGCGCAGGCTGGTCTGGATCCATGCTGGTCGCAAACCCATTTTGTTGGTTTTGTCATGACGCGGCACATATGTGTAGCCTGATATTAGGCTCTATATTGTTGGCTGACTAACTTCAAATTTTTATCTTGATATCCCAAAGTTGATGTAATGCACATGTCATAAGTTAAGTCAGGCAGCATGGCTGTGCTGTCTTGGCTCTATTAATATTGACAAGTTACCATACGTACTCATAAAACACAAACTGCATACAGTAAAACTTTCAGAAATTAGTGACCTACACTTAATTTATAAACATGCAAAAAAATCGATAATACACATACACAGACAGATGGACAGACAATGGGTATTCTACAATATTCATTTGCATTATTTTTACAGAGGAATAATAAAGTTAACCTGGGAATACTTAAGTTAACAGAAATGAAAATGTAAAATTCTTACATGATTTGCAGCCTCCCTCAAAGAATGTACTGTGTTTTCTGGTACAGTAGCTAGCCTGGAAATTACAATAAAACTATTATTAAAGGAATAGGAATGGATGGATTGATGTCTGTCTAATATAAATATTCATCATTTAAAAAGAGGAACCATGACAGTTTTCCTATTGACATCAACCCTATAAGAGAGAAATTCGTGTTTTAAGACACTATTTTTTACTTGAGAAATAAGTTCATGGGCGCCGCCATTTTGGCGTTCTGTCATTCTCGCGAGACAGATGAGACCGAGATTGTGACGTGTAATACCCACTTCCGGTATAGGTGTACACGCTGGTACAACTGAAATATATCTTGATGAAGAACTTATTAATTTTATTGAGTACATTATATATTATTTATGAAAACATCATATGGAACTGAATTGCTTTAATTAATTAATTGAAGACGCCGCGACATTAATTATTATTTCTCCGATATTCAAGCTTGCTGATGATCCCACCACATGATTTAAGCAATGACTGCTTAATTTTCAAAGATAAACCATAAATTTAATTTGGGAACTATGAGAAACTTCTTCAAATTGACGATATATCCTTTTATTTTGTACTTAATTTTCGCTAGACAAGCTGTCCAAATAGGGTACATCGCCGGTCATGTATCTTTTTTTTTCAGGTAAAATATCAACTAAATCCAATATATATCTACATACCAAATTCCTTTCCCCGACAGAAACGCATTTCTACAACCGTAAATTTAATCCAATATTGAATAAAACAAAAAAAAATCATAAATCTACTTAATATTTAAAATGATTATTGGTAACTGAAAAAAATGTGTTGCTATTTTATGATGTGCTGTAATTTACTACAGTATAACTTGACAGGTGCGGAACTTAATTTCCCCTAAGGTCATTCAGTTCACTGATGAAGCGTATAAAAATAGATGTCTATTTCGTCATTAGAATATTTGACAAGGGTGATTAACCAATCAGGGTAACATGGTGCATGATCAAAAGGTCTGTCGGCACAGAGGCATACAAGGAGCAATAAAAATCGTCAGTACACAGTGTGACAGGAGCATTTGGTGCAAATTAGGAACAATTAAAATGGACAATGCGCAGTAATAGACATAAGTAGTAAGAACCAGCAATTGTGTGAATAAATTATGCAAATTAGACTTTTGAGCAGCCAATAAAAATGATTTGCCTGCAGTTAATATTAGGCTACGATTACGATGCGCAGCATCATACGTTCACAGACATATTAACAATTTACTTTTCAAAAGAGTTGCTTATATTATTGAAATGTTTACATCAATTATAACAAATGTTCACACCTTTAAATTTGAAAGTCAGAATCAAACTGCAAAAATTTAATTATATGTACTATTAAGAACACGTTTTAGTAGGGTTTTTATAATGGAAGTGGCTAACGTACGGGCCCGTACGGCTAGCCAAAAGTTTTAGCCGTACGTGAGTCACGTACGACTAGCAAGGACACGCTGTATTGGCTAGCCGTACGGCACTTTTCAAAATTTTATGGAAGTCGAAAATGCATATGTTATTTTATGACTTTAAGCGAGGATTTTAACCAAGAAACAGCATTAATTGTCTTTGGATGTTTACTTTTTAGAGATTAATCGCCTTGATCGCTATATATATCGATCTTTGTCATCGCAAGATGTCGAGAAAAAAAATAGCCATTGCTTGCATTTACACCAATTGAAATAGTTTTTGATAATAATCCTTTTTTGTTTCATTAAGTTTAATTTTCTACACCTTTTATATGAAAAAAAAAAAACAACAAACACTGAAAATGATTGTTGTTAGGCTCTTGATAATTGCGACAATTACCGACGGTACTGTATAGAAGTTTGTCCATCAAGGAAAGTTTGCATGTTCCGTGAAAGGCATTCTAAAATTCTATTGTCAGTCCCTGGATAGGTTTTAATCAAGGCTAATTAATTGTTTGACTGTGCTTTTATGTTCGATATTTATCTACTGTTTTGAAAATTATATAATTATTTTTGCATTTCACCGTTTTTTTTTTTTTTTTGTTTTTTTTCATTCAATGTTCTTTTTATTTATTTATTCCACTCCGATCATTTTTTATTCGATCCATGTGCTTAAAATTAACAAAAATGATTTAATAATTCATACAAATAAAACAACAAATGATAAGCATGAAAATCAACAATTTTATAATGTTTGACTTCCATATAATTTTGAAAAGTGCCGTACGGCTAAACGATACGTACAGTGCGTCCTGGCTAGTCGTTCGTGACTCACATACGGCTAGAACTTTTTGCTAGCCGTACGTTTCTTTAATTTTTTTATATATATTTTTTTTGATATTGTTACGTATTTTGAACCATAAAAAATCTCCTCTACACCTCCTGTGAAAATTAAATTGTCTGGTCATTAATTAATATTTCCTTACGATTCAACTAGATTTATCATGAATCTAAAGATGTGGGGAAATGACATCACGCGCACCTGTTTTTATACGGTCTATACACAAACATGGCCGCGCTTACTTATTTGTAGAAATCGGTGATTTAGCGATTTAAATTTTGTTATCATTCGTTTAATATTATTATTTGGCGGCAGAAAATTTGAAGACTTATTATTTATAGTATTCTTTTTCTGAAATCAAGTTTTTATTCTAACCTTGTCTTTCCCTTTAAGCTCCATACAACATGTTATATCATAATGTTATTTTCGTATGTATGGATATCATTCCAATTCTTTATATCATGCCTAATATTGTAATTCCAGGCTTTAAAAATATACTATGTTCATTCTTATGTAAATTATTTTAATCACAGACATTTTTTGAAATCTATGGAATTCTTACTCTATATGTCTCACTTGAATAAAAGAACGAAAAAACTATGTTTATGTTATGTTTATGGGAAGCTGCGTTCTATATAACAGGTCAAGTAAACTTGATCTTTTCTTAAACAAGAGCGATCAGTAATCACATGTGTCGCCTCATGATGGCCAATTTTATGTTGGGACAAATTTTGTGACAGACGGACAGACAGACGGACAGTGCACAACTAGACTTAGTACTGATCATTCCTGTAAAGTTTGGATAAAATCATGCACCAGTAGTTTATGAGGAGTAGTCCGGACAAGCTTTTGCGTATCTGGAAACACACAGAAAAAAACACCTTTTTATCAAAGGGCCATAACTAGGCCAAAAATCATTTAACCAGAAAACCCGTGCAATATGCTCAAGGACTTGAGCTACAGATCAATCTTGTAAAGTTTCATTGAAATTACATTAGTGGTATAAGAGAAGTAGTCCGGAAAAACTTTAAAAATAAAAATTATTAAAGGGCCATAACTCTGACAAAAATCATTGAACCGGAAAATGCTGACAATATGCACAACTAGACTTGGTACTGATCATTCCTGTAAAGTTTGGATGTAATTGCACCAGTAGTTTATGAGGAGTAGTCCGGACAAGCTTTTGTGTATCTGGCAACACACAGAAAAAAACACCTTTTTATCAATGGGCAATAACTCGGCCAAAAATCATTCAACCGGAAAACCCATGCAATATGCGCAAGGACTTGAGCTACAGATCAATCCTGTAAAGTTTCATTGAAATTGCATAAGTGGTATAAGAGAAGTAGTCCAGACAAACTTTAAAAATAAAAATTATTAAAGGGCCATAACTCTGACAAAAATCATTGAACCGGAAAATGCTGACAATATGCACAACTAGACTTGGTACTGATCATTCCTGTAAAGTTTGGATGAAATTGCACCAGTAGTTTATGAGGTGTAGTCCGGACAAGTTTTATGACGGACGGACAGACAGACAGACAGACGGACAGACAGACAACAGAGAAGTGATCCCTATATGTCGCCACTACTCCGTAGAGGCGACACAAAAATGACAATGCATATTCATATTGTGACCACTACTTTGTGTGAAGTGAAAACATGTTTATTTTATAATTACAAAGAGACTGTGTAGCAATTATCAATATCTTCTGATGAAATTTGAGCTTAGTATATCTTAAATCAATATTATTATTACTTTTGGTTGGGTTTTCTGTCACACCAACACTGTAAAGGTTGTAAATGGAAACTTTCCAACTTTACTGGTGGAGGAAGACCTTAGGTGACCCTCAATGCATTATTTCAGGCACAAACCGGCACCTGAGTAGAACCTCCGACATGCTAGCTAGATAGCTTCCTCATATGAATGAATCCATAGTCCCTGGGGAGATCTGAACGGACAGCTGTGTCAGACAAGTGGTATGAAGTCAATAACCTTAACCACCCAGCCAGGGATGCCCCTTCTTCATTAAGTATTATAAAACCAATTTCACTAACTGCATAATTTATCCTAGTCATTAGTTTTGACGCCCTTAAGCTGTTTAACTAGTGCAATTTTTTATATTGAACTTGATCATTAAATAATATACAATATAAAGTTACTATGGCATGTTGTTTATCACTGCAAACCATTTTTATGTTTGTTAAAAATTTAAAATCAGTTAAGTTTTGTACTTGAGTACACAGACTGTGGAGGCATCCATTGCTGTTTACAGTCATATGAAATGACGCCTTTTCATTGGGTGGTTATTTCAAAAGGATATTTCACTGTAACGTAATATGAACAGCAAAATAATATTTTTAATGAGCAAACCTGCAATGAAACAACAAAGAACACTTTTTTTAAGTTAATTTGATATACATGTATATGATCCGTACATGTGCTGGGATTGATAAATATACATTTAATTTGGATTTTAAAAGCATTTTGAGCTCCACACCCCAAGTGTCTGTGTACTGACTGGGAACTAAAATAGTTTATACATATATATTTGTATTCTTACAAATACAAATACATGTATATTTGTATTCTTACAAATACAAATTCATACAAATTCTTACTCACTCAAAAACAGTCATAGAACACTAAATTCTCAATCTAAAACTAGTAGTTTTTTTTTATTATTATTATCACATGTATTTCATTACAGAACATAATATAGAATCAATAAAGGAGACAACTTACATGTGACTACCATGGTAACTAATTCCCATCCCACGATGCCCTATATCAAGTGGCTCTCTTGTATGTTTCCAGTATTTCTGGTAGGATACACTCATGTCAAACTTGTGACCAGTCATTGGCTTCACTACCATATATGCAACTAAAATTTGAATAAAAAAAAGTATTAAACCTTTTTTTTACTTAAAGATGGTCCAATATTGGATAGATTAGTGACAATTTTTTTGTCTTACTTTGTGCTATGGTAGTTAAAAATAAATATACCATGTAATAAGAAAGTGAAAGTACTTTTACAAGTATGGGGTCAATTACTACTCAAGTAATTTCTAGGACTTTATTATCACATCCAAACTACATGTGTATATTGATTTTCAGTATCTTATGTATCTTCAATTAAGCAGCATTTAGTAACTAACATTGTTGAGAAACATATCTCCATTGTACTCTAAAATACATGTACATTATATATATAGTCTGGCCTTTTTGTAAAAGAAAGAAAAAGAAAAAAATGTTTATACAGTTAACAATGATTTTGTACACTTGTACATATCTAAATGATGATTGCATTGTAATATTACATAGTTACATATAGTCGAAAAAAAGAATAATATTGCCTCACACCAGATAGTAGGTTGTTGATAATTTATTATGAATCAAAAAAAATTAATATTATTTTATTTATCATATTTATTATTACTTATGATTTAAATATTATACCGGTACACATTTGTGGCAAAGTAACTCGACCTATACATAATAAATGAGTATAAACCATGAAAAATTGATCTAGAAATATGTATTTCTGTTTGTTTAGTGTTACGGCACACCAACACAGTTTAGGTCATATAGCGCAGAAACAGGAAAAATGATTTAGGCTAATCTCAGGTATTACAAACTTCAAAGCAACACCAGGAGTCAAAACCACACCACAACTGCTGGAGCTAAGAGATAGCATAGACTCCAGTAATCAAAACCATTTGTCGCCTCTTACAAACACACAGGGATAAACAGTGCCTCAATGCTGATGCCTTAACCATTAAAGGCAACCCCTTAGACAGAAGATGGTATGTATTGCTAAAGTTTAACATAATCATTTAACATACTGCAAATAACTTGATCAATACATGTAGAAATATATCTGAAATATAATTTACAATACAATAATTATACAATTCTGATAGAAATGCAAATTTTGCAAACTGGGGTATGTATACATTGACTAAGTGATTTATAGAGAGTGTGCTTTAATCCTATAAATATATTTAATGTTGTTGCTTTCCCCTTTAATCACATGTTCTCAAAAAAAGAAAAGAAAAAAATAGTTACATTTGATCTGGCCAAGAGGTTTATGCTGAAGACTGGTTATTGGAACAGCTCTGGTGTTGACACTATGAACTATATCTAATGGTAGAAGGAAGGAATATCCAAGGTGACGAGGCACGTTTTCTTCCCCCGAGCCATCATACACATAAAAATCTAGCTGAAATCCCTGTCAATATGATTAAATACGTAATAATACATAATCATAAAAATCATAATACTAATCTTCAACATAATCGTCATCACCAGAATAATCATAAAAACAGCCTTCATATCTGATCATGGCCTGCACTGTGCACTATTTAGTCACTAAATATCTTGAAAAACTTTCCCTTCAAAATGATTTATGATGTTGTCAAGATTTAAGATATTTTATGTTCAAATTTTATATTTTTAAATACATGTATTGATAATTGCTACACAATACCTTTGTAAGTATAGAATAAACATGTTTTGACTACACACAAAATTAATATCTTATGTTTTAAACTCTACACACTATAGATGGACACAAAAAGAATATATAAAGTCATTTAAAAAAATGGCAGTTTGTTTTTAAAGAATAGGATATGCAGCTTCCGACACACAGTTATTAAAATTAGACTTTTAATTCAAAAAGAATTACATTGATTTTAGTTAATTTTTGGTATAAAAATATTTTACTCTAAGATGAGCATAGTATATCTTTAAGAGAAGGCAAGTTCATTTATATCAGGAAAGATGAAATACCATAACTATGTGCATTTTTAGTTTAAATGCATATACCCCGAGGACAATAAACATGGCTTTCCTGATGTAACTCTTTACAGTTACGGGTTTTTCACCATTCTCATACTTACATGTCACCTGTAGCCTGTACTGACAAGACAGTGGAAATTTATAACATACCTGATATAGTTTTGTGGTATATACCCATCATTACACAGAACACCTGAAGTGTAATGTAACATTATGGATTCCACAATACCCAGGTTGATATACACTCTTAAATAAACTGCAATTCTTTACCATCCAGGAAAATAACACTTCTCTGGCTCTGAAGTATGGGGTTATTTTTGGATATTGGTAAGGTAGTAGGATAACTTTCCAGCTTTTACATATGTACTGCAAAATGAAGAATAAAGATGTCCTTTAAGCACCTGTGTTAAACCATCAAACTCCAGTAAGTCTTTTGTCAGGTATTTGGTTAATGTACACACAACATACCAAATTTGATCTGTATTTTTTAATGTTCATCATATTTGGCATACTTACAGTGGTTTCAGGTTCTAAAGTCTGTATCATAAAGCTCATGTAGCAGTCTGGAGTGTATACCGCTCCATACTCACTTTGTGCCTGAGGTGCTGAACGTCCTTTCTCCAAAACCTGTAGCATACATAATTTGTATCAACTTAAACAAATAATATACAAATCCAGACAAGGAAGATTTTGTTGGGTTTTTTTTTAATTTTTTTTTTTTACGGTCATATGGCCACGGAACAGGAAAGATGATTTTGGCTCTCCTCGGGTGTTACAAACTTAAAGCAACATTAGGGGTCAAAACTACCTCACCTGTAGGATGTTACAGATGCATAGACTAGCAATTATGTTGCCTCTCTGATGATCATGCAGGGATAAACCGTGGCTGTAATTCTTTTGCTTCAACTCTTAAAGGCAACCCCTCAGCCACAAGAGGACAAAAGACAAGATAAAAATAGCTTTAAAAATATTCATCAGATCCAATGAAAAATGCAGCATCTTATTGCTCCTGATACAATGATATTTAATATTCAAAACTAAATGACTGCAACCAACTACAACAGCCTCACAACTTAAAATTATAGTGACATTTATGTAATTGGGATTTTTCGTATATCATATGCATAGCTGTATCATACTGTTCTATAAAAAGGTTGGAAAGGCTACACAGTCATGTGATTATAATTACCAAACTAGCACTATCACTTAATGTGATTAATACCCCCACAAGACTGCTTCGGAAATGAGGAAGTTATTAGCAACAGAATACCTTGCAGCTGAAATAGAGTTATAGTTGTGGGCAATTAAAGATAGTTGTAGTTCTTGTATGATGCATTTCCTTTCAATCTCTTTGACTATTGATGAAGTTTTATTAAATTACTCTGTAATAAGAGTTACGCTTCTTGAGCACTGCACTTCCTCTCATTGCGCTTGACCATTTAATGCAGATTCATTGAATTCTAAACATTAGTTTTTAAGGTATGCACCTGACAAGGAAAAGGAACAAATGGCAATACTCTACAAATACTGAAGATGGAGTTATGATTATTGTACACTGCACTCCCTCTCATTGCGCTTGACCATTGTATGAAGTTGTATTGAATTCCAACTACTAGTTTTCAAGTTATGCACTGGACAAAAAAGTAACAAAGGTCAATAACTCTGTAATTACTTTATAAAAAGTTATGGTTCTTGTGCACTGCACTTCATCTCACTGCCCTTGACCATTGTATGTAGTTTCTTTAAATTCCAACCATTAAGAGGGCAAAAACTCTTAAATGAGTCAAGAAAGAGTTATGGTTTCTGTGCACTGCGCTTTCTCTCAATATACTTGACAATAGTATGAAATTGTATTGAATTGCAACTAGTACTTTTCAAGTTATGCTCTGGACAAGAAAAAAGCAATAGAAAAGTAACAAAGGGCAATAACTCTACAATTACTCTGGACAGAGTTATGGTTCTTGTGCACTGCACTTCCTCTTATTGTGCTTGACCATTGTATGAAGTTGTTTTGAATTCCAACCAGTACTTTACAAGTTATGCTCTGGACAAGGAAAAGTATCAAAGGGCAATAACTCTGTAATTTGTCAAAATGGTGTTATTGTTCTTGTGCACTGCACTTCCTCTTAATGTGCTTGATGATTGTATGAAGTTGTATTGAATTTCAACTAGTAGTTTTCAAGTTATGCTCTGGACAAGGAAAAGTAACAAAGGGCAATTACTCTGTAATTAGTCAAGATGGAGTTATGGTTCTTGTGCACTGCATTTCCTCTCAATGTCCTTGATCATTGTATGAAGTTGTATTGAATTCCAACCATTACTCTTCAAGTTATGGTCCCCACAAATGAAAGCAATGGAAAAGTAACAAAGGGCAATAACTCTGTAATTACTTTAGATAGAGTTATGGTGCTTGTGCAGTGCACTTCCCCTTATTGTGCTTGACCATTGTATTAAGTTGTTTTGAATTCCAACCAGCAGTTTTCAAGTTATGCTCTGGAAAAGGAAAAGTAACAAAGGGCAATAACTCTATAATTAGTCAAGATGGAGTTATCGTTCTTGTGCACTGCACTTCCTCTCAATGTGCTTGATCATTGTATGAAGTTGTATTGATTTCCAACCATTAGTCTTTTAAGTTATGCTCCCGACAAAGAAAATGCAATGGACGGCTGGACAGACCGACCAACCAACCGACCGACCGACCAACCACCTAGTGACTCCTATATACCCCCCCAAACCTCATTTCAGGGGTATAATGCGTATGTTTTAAGTATTTTTCTTTTTATCTTTTAACTTCAGTAAAATAGTGGTAATTATATAAACATAACTTACTGATATCCAAACTAAAGAATTTGAAGCTTGAGGCAAAATTCCCCCATCCTCATCCATATGCTCCTGTGAAGAATAACATTATGTTTTTTATACAGTATTAGGACATTTTGTCAACCTGTTTAATTTTACCCCAAGAAAAAAATCTTTGTAAAGACAGTCTGCACATACTGACAGATTAGCCAGTAAATTGATAGTCAGATTAGCCAGCAAATTGATAGTAAGATTAGCCTGTAAACTTTTAGACAGATAAGCCTGTAAAATGATAGACACATTAGACTGTAAAATGTTAGGCAGACTAACATTTTACAGTCTAATTTGTCTAACATTTTACAGTCTAATTTGTCTATCATTTTACAGGCTAATCTGTCTAACGGCTTACAGGCTAATCATGAGATTAGTCTGTAAACATTCCAAACTGTCCAAGAGTTTACTGGCTAATCTGTCTAAAAGTTTACCGGCTAATCTGTCTATCGTTTTACAGGCTAATCTGTATATGACAGATTAGCCTATAATCTCTAAAACAGATTAGCCAGTAAACTGTCAGGCAGATTAGCTGGTAATCTCTAAGACTGATTAGCCTGTAAAATGTTAGGCTAATAAGCCGGTAAACTTTTAGACAGATCAGTCTGTAAAATGTTTTGCTAATTAGCCAGTAAACTTTTAGACAGATCAGCCTGAACACTGTCTGGCAAATTAACGGGTAAACTGACAAATTGGGCTTAAAACTGTTAGACAGATCAGCCTGTAAACTGCTGACTGCTTGATTTCACTACAAAAATGATAAAACCCATTAATTGAACAATTGGCAGTCCTTTATTAGAAGCCAAACAAATACTCTTAACAACATTAACATAAAGTCAGTGAATGACATTTATCATCCCACAGACACATGAGAAAGTTCAAAAGAATACATTCTGTCATTTATGAATTAGGGAGAAACAAGCAAAACTGTTACCAAGTGTTTCTCTGACAACTTTTCTTTGAATTTACAAGCTAATACATGACTTACTCCCTATAGTCTTAAAAAGTTATATAATTGTATTAAAGACTGAATTTCTATTTTAATTAAATGATAACAATTCAGTTTGAAAGATATTATTTTTGGTTACTAGTCAAATCTCGACTTGCATTTCTGTAGCCATGGTCTATAGGTGTACATTTTATACTAAATGTCTTGTCCTTATATTTCGTACTCCACATCTTTATTGGGTTACCATGGAAACGTAGATTTATCTGTGATTGATCAATTAACCAGCCTCGGGTCACATGCTGTGAACCACCTGACGAAAAATAATAAAGGAAACTGTTGCTAGGCAACTACATGTTCTTTGATTTCTTCTTACCTTTTATGGTGAGACTAACAAAAATTACCAATTTTGGTAAATTTACAAATGTCAATACACTTGTTATGGATCATAAAACAAACAACATTGGCTTCAATATGTGAGTAAATTAATTAGCAACAAAGAAGAGAAATTTTCACAAAACAATAAACAATATAAAAATTAAAAACCAAGGTTTTCTTTAAGGAAAATCGTATTATTCTGAATTCTAATAAAAATTCATTAAAAGAATAATGTCTACATGATTTGATTTAAGAAATATTTCTCACCATTCAACCCAAAAACGTCTGCACTGTTTGTACCATTCTCTTTCTGAAAATCTGAAAAGAAGCATTAAAGCTTGTATGAAGAAGTCTTGGCTAACAATACAAGGAAGTATTTCAGTTATAAACCTGAGGACGACCTTTTGTAAAATCTATTTAAAGACATACAGTCTACAATTGGTTACAAGTCACAGAGATCTGAACACTTGCTCCTCAAACCTGTGGTTCGACTCCAGCCAGGGACTGTAATCTATCTATTCAACCAGCTTACAGAATGCCAGCAGTTTTGTTTTGAGCCAATGTTTACCTGTCAGAATGCACTAATGATATATCCTTCTTTTCAAACTAAAGCACAAAATGGGCCTTTATGACCTAGTGCTTAAGGTTCCTCATTTCAAATCACATCCATCTCACTATACAATATAGTGGACTCCTGAGAGCAATGTTGAATACTATCATTACATGTAACTATCAAGCTCACTTATGGAAGTTGTGTTTATCTCAATTATCTCATATTGGGTGTGCCATTTTTTTTACCCAGCTTTATAGTTTTTTCAATATTAATTTTGTAGAGGTCAACTTCGAAATGTAACATGCCAAATATCTAATATCTAAGCAAATTAAAATGTATTTTCACATAAGATTTATTTGTTTTCCTAGATAAATCTGTATAAAATAGGACCCTGACCCCAAAGTGGAGCCAATTTTTAACCAAGGGGTATGACATATACCTTTTGTAGAGGACCACAAGGTGATGCTACATGGCAAGTATCTATGCTCTGGGCATTCAAGTTATAGATAGGAAGAATTCTAAGACAAGTTATTTTACTATACATGAATAAGTCTATATAAACTAAATGATCCTCAGCAGTAGGGCAATTTTAACAACAGTGAACAAATGCATAATATCTATTTTTTGTAGAGGACCACAAAATGAACTTCCTTCCAATTTCTAAACTTTTGTCATTACATGTATATTTTCTTTTGAGTATTTATATTTTTAGACTTTATTTTTAAGTCTCTTTATAGCTTTTATGACTAACTGATGCATCAAACTAAATTTCTTTACATAACTTTGAAGAGTTGCACAGTAAATTTTGGTTAAGATCCACCTTGTGGTTTAGGAGATGTTAATTGTTTTAAGAAAATGTGTATAAAAATACACAACATACAAATAGCCTTCACCTAGGCGAAAAAAATAAAATGCTCAGGTAAGCCAAAAATAAAACAAACATATTGGCTTGTAAGCGCTCACCTGCGGACACCATTTCATTGGTGTAAAATGCTGCAAGTTATTGTCAACTATCAATTCATTAAACCATTTGAGCTACGTCATGACAAAACCAACATAGTGTGTTTGCGACCAGCATGGATCCAGACCAGCGCAGTCTGATTAGGATCCATGCTGTTCGCTATCAGTTTCTCTACTTGTTAAAGGGTATGTAAGCGAACACTATGGGTTCTGACCAGACTGCGCTGTTCATATATATACCTTGTATTCTATATGAAACCTGTATATATACCTTGTATAGAGATTTCTCTGGGTTTAATGCTAGTTTCCCACAATGTAACGAAGGTGGCTTTCTCCTCATGATCTTCAGATTGAAACAGGTGAGCGATAAAGTACCTGTACTTTAATGATTGCCTCAGCCATCTCAGCCTCAACTGCTTTGACCACACATTTCTACAAAAATTAACAGAAATAAAATAAATAATGGTTTGTTAATAATTACAGTTTATTTGGACAAGAGAATAACTAGAACTGCCATTGTCATGGCGTGAATACCTCCGCATACCACTTTGTCAGAATCAACAGTGGCCATTTAGAGCTCAATGACAACTTCCCTGCCAAATCTGAGGTTACTAAGCCAGTGAATTGCTAAGTTATGTATTCTAAATGCTTCAAATGTGAAAATGTCAAAATCAATACACTGCCGACAGGCATTCTTGAGCAATTGAGGGGAAAAACTTATTTTTTTGTCAAGGTCCCTGTGACCTTTGACCCAGTGACCTCAAAATCAATAGCGGTGACCTTATAGTCATGATAAACCTCCATGCCAAATATGAAGACTTTGGGTCAAAGGAATCTTAAGTTAATGGCCGGACAAACTTTTTTAGTCAAGGCCCTGTGACCTTGACTTTTGACCAAGTGACCTCAAAATCAATAGGGGTCATCTACTAATCATGACTAACCTCCATGCCAAATATGAAGACTGTGGGTCAAAGGAATCTTTAGTTATTGGGCAAATAAGCTTTTTAAAGTCAAGGCCCCTGTGACCTTGACCTTTGACCCGGTGACCTCAAAATCAATAGGGGTCATCTACTAATCATGACTAACCTCCATGCCAAATCTGAAGACTGTGGGTCAAAGGAATCTTAAAAGTTATTGAGCGGACAAGCTTTTTGAAGTCAAGGCCCTGTGACCTTGACCTTTGACCTTGTGACCTCAAAATCAATAGCAGTCATCTACTAATCATGACTAACCTCCATGCGAAATATGAAGACTGATTGTCAAAGGAATCTTTAGTTATTGGGCGGACAAGCTTTTTGAAGTCAAGGCCCCTGTGACCTTGACCTTAGACCCAGTGATCTCAAAATCAATAGGGGTCATCTACTCATCATGACTAACCTCCATGCCATATATGAAGACTGTGGGTCAAAGGAATCTTAAGTTATTGGGCGGAAAAGCTTTTTTCAGTCAAGGCCCCTGTGACCTTGACCTTTGACCCAACGACCTCAAAATCGATATAGGTCATCTACTTATCATGACTAACCTCCATGCCAAATATGAAGATTGTGGGTCTTAGGTATCTTAAGTTATTGGGCTGACAAGGAAAAACCGACGGCCGGCAGGACAGCCGGACGCCGGGACGGCCAAGCTGATTCCAGTATACCCTCCTTACAACTTTGTTGTGCAGGGGTATAATCACATATATTCAAGGCCTTTAAATGTCATTAGTAAGTTAATATATCAATATCATAATCTAGAAACTTTTAGTAAATGAGTCATTTTATTTAACACACATGAATTATTTAATGATTATTTTGCACATGCACCAACAACTTTTTTTTTTTTTTAGATTCAAATTCATATGTACTCTTGTATGATTTTTATAAAGATAAAAGCAAAATGTATTTATAATAAACAGTCAAATACAGCTTTATACCCTCTAAATCTCTAACATCTTGCTCTTCAATTCTGGAGGAAATAAAAGTACCCTACCCTGCCCTGCCCTGCCCCCACACCCACCCCTATCCTACCATACCCTTACCACCTACCTACCTACATACCTACTATCAATTATACAATGTAATGATCACTTACGTATCTCCTTGTTTTTTCAGCTTTAAAGCTTTATCAGGGTCCCAGTTGCCCAGTTCATCACATTCTCCCGTCACACAGATCACCTCTCCAGCATCTGTATCTCCCTGAACATTAAACAGCACTTCATATGTCACAGACTTCAACATGGTGATCTCTCTACCTTGATTAAATGATTGCTGCAGTCCCCCTTTTTCACAGACCTTGACTCTGGTGTCAAGTCTTATTTAGCAATAAATTACACCTTTAATTTAACAGAGTATTACCAGCTTGTCATTCACTTCTGACTGTTCCAGCACTAACAGTTTGATACCAGTCTCTGTAAATAGAAACAAGAGAAATTGTTACATCTAACTTTTGCTATTTTACACTACCTTACTTTATAGCGCAGCTGCTCTATTATTTTACAATACAGAAATAATTATGTATGTATATAATCAAGCATATTAGCAGACAAATCTATAAAACTTTATAAAGTAAATTAGTAAGTTTAAACATATTTTATTATATATATATATATATACATACATAAATTTTCACAATTATACATGAATACATTAATGTAAATATACAAAAGGGTTGGGCCAAAAGTTACAACAACATTATCGAGGGCCCTCTCCTCCTACACATTGACAAATATTACACAGAATACCCATCTGCATTTGAAAACAATTTCATTCAACTAATTTTTTGCTGTAAATTTGTTTGTTTGTATAATTTTGGTCTCTTGCCAGAACCATTTAGCTACCTTTTCAGTAATCAAGCATTGAATTAACTGTCACTGAATAAGTGCAGTGCATTATGGTGTCAAATTACACAGTGCTAACCAAAGGACTTTAAGTATGTTTGCTGTTCAAATTTTCAAAACTTGCCTTCACCTACATATTGCACAAAAAAGTTCATTATATATAATTATATCATCGTTTGGAAATGAATCATTTATTATGTAATTTAAGGCTGTCAAGCGACCCCAAGGAAAAAGTGGGGCAAAAATTGGGCTGAATTTTTTTCAAAAACCATAGAAGATATGTTACTTAAATATATGCTATGGCAAGTAGAGCCCAATAGGTACTGTTTTAGTTTTATGAACATTTTATAACTATATTACACTAAGTTTCAATGTTACCAAATGTTACAGCAAATCAAATACAAGTACAGTGCAACTTTTTTACATTGCACCTTGTAAAAAAAAAAATGGAAAAAAAAACAAGAACGTGTTTGTTAAACTCAAATGCCCCCGGCTCCGATTCTTGTCAGTAGCAATATTTCAAAAAATTTTTCCCCATTCACTCAGTTATGGACAGAAACATTGCCAACAAGAATGTCGAACGACACATATACCCCCCTTTCTAGCCATTGACTCACATAATTGGTAATTTTATTAAAGAAACTTGCCAAAAATGGGTACATGGAAGTGTTCAATTATGGAAAAATCAACAGAAACCATTTTGACATTTAAAGCCAATGTGACCTTGACCTTTTGCCTAGTGACCCCTAAATCAATAGAGGTCATCTAATACTTATGACCAGTAACTAGGTGAAATATGAAGACTTTGTGATGAATACTTTTTCAAGATAATCAGCGGAAACCATTTAGACATTTAAGGTCCCTGTGACCTTGACCTTTGACCTAGTGACCCCAAAATCAATAGGGGTCATCTACTAGTGATGACCAATCACTGTGTGAAATATGAAGACTTTGTGATACATACTTTTTAAGATAATCAGCGGAAACCATTTTGACATTTAAGGTCCCTGTGACCTTGACCTTTGACCTAGTGACCCCAAAATCAATAGGGGCCATCTACTAGTGATGACTAATCACTATGTGAAATATGAAGACTTTGTGATGAATAATTTTTAAGATATTCAGCTGAAACCATTTTGACATTTAAGGTCCCTGTGACCTTGACCTTTGACCTAGTGACCACAAAATCAATAGGGGTCATCTACTAGTTATGACCAATCACTATGTAAAATATGAAGACTTTGTGATAAATACTTTTCAAGATAATCAGCGGAAACCATGTGGTCTACCGACGGACAGACCAACGGACGGACCGACAGACAGACAGACAGACCGACATTAGCAAAACAATATGCCCCCTCTTCTTCGAAGGGGGGCATAAACAAGAGCTGTCACAAGAGACAGCGAAGCTCGACTAATAAAATACTGGACGCAGTAAGGAGGACAAAATACGAAAGAAAAATCAATTATGTATAATTATGTATTAAGTTATAGTAAAAAAATAACATTTGTTAACATAAATTCCAAGATCAAGGGGAATAATTCTTGAAATAGTCATGCTAGAGTTATGGACCTTGTCACACAACATTTGTGTAATGATAAGAAATATATATTTGAAGTTTGAAGTAGACACCTTAAAAAGTAAAGAAGTTATTATATTTCTTAAAGAAAATCCTAAGTTCAAAGAGAGAAAAATCTGTAAATATTGCTTCAAGAGTTATGAACATTGTCACATAAAATGTAATTGATGATAAGGAATAAGTATTTGAAGTTTGAGGTAGATACCTTTAAAAATAAAAAAGTTATAATAAAAAATAACATTTTTCTAGTAAAAAAATCTAAGTTTATGGGGAGATAATTCTTGCAATATTGGTGCTAGAGTTATGAACCTTGTAACATAAGATGTGGATGATGATAACGTAAATATATTTGAAGTATGAAGTTGATCCCTTTAGAAATAAATAAGTAACAGTAAAAAATAATATTTTTTATGGAAAATTCTAAGTTCAAAGGGAGATAATTCTGAAAATATTGGTGCTAGAGTTATGAACCTTGTCACATAGGATGGGGATGATGATAACGTAAATATATTTGAAGTATGAGGTTGATCCCTTAAGAAATAAAGAAGAAACAGTAAGAAATAGCATTTTTTGAGGAAAATTCTAAGTTCAAGGGGAGATAAATCTGAAAATATTGGTGCTAGAGTTATGAACCTTGTCACATAAGATGGGGATGATGATAAGGTACATATATTTGAAGGGTGAGGTTGATCCCTTCAGAAATAAAGAAGTAACAGTAAAAAATAGTATTTTTTAAGGAAAATTCTAAGTTCAAGGGGAGATAAATCTAAAAATATTGGTGCTAGAGTTATGAACATTGTCACATAAGATGTGGTTGATGATAAGGAACATATATTTGAAGTTTGAAGTTGATACCTTAAGAAATGACAAAGTTATAGTGAAAAATATTTTACTGTACCAAAACTTTAATCTAAAATCTGGACACGGACGCGGACGCCGACGCCGGGGCGAGTAGGACAGCTCTCCATATACTTCGTATAGTCGAGCTAAAAATTGTAAACACAAGTTATATAGCTTGACAGAGTCATGGCATTTTGTAATTGTGAAATATATAAGTTGCCAAGTCATTGGTATGACTTGTGAAGTGATAAATATTCAACTTTATCAATATATAAATGTAAGAAATCTATACTTGGCACCCTTGACCTTGACCCAATGACACCTATAGAATATCATACAAGTTATCTTCCTACCAAATATGAAATACACCTGTCAATAAATAAAGGCTGTATGGGCAAAAAATGTTAAAATCTATTTTGAGCATTGATGACCTTGATCAAACTGACCCCTGACTCCATCCAAAGGAAGAATACCATGCAAGTTATCTTCCAACCAAATATGAAATAAATCTGTCAATAAATAAAGGTTGTATGGGCAAAAGTGTAAAAATCTATTTTTAGCACTTGTGACCTTGACCCAACTGACCCCTAACTCCATCCAAAGTAAAATAACATGCAAATTATCTTCCTACCAAATATGAATATATCTGTCAATAAATAAAGGCTGTATTGGCAAAACTGTAAAAAAAAATCTATTTTTAGCACTAGTGACCTTGACACTCATTGGTATGACTTGTGAAGTGATAAATATTCAACATTATCAATATATAAATGTAAGAAATCTATACTTGGCACCATTGACCTTGACCCAATGACACCTATAGAATATCATGCAAGTTGTCTTCCTACCAAATATGAAATACACCTGTCAATAAATAAAGCCTGTATGGGCAAAAGTGTAAAAATCTATATTTAGCACTGGTGACCTTGACCCAACTGACCACTAACTCCATCAAATTTTATGTTCCTATCAATTATAAATAACATCTGTCTATAGAATATATGGTAAATACAGCTGTAAAAATGTAAACATCTATTTTTAACATTGGTGACCTTGAAATTGGTGACATTGACCTTGACCCAAATGACCCCTAACTTTACCCAAAGAAGGAGGACCTTCCTTGGCATGTTTGTATTAAACATGAAAGACATCAACCAAAAAATAAAGGCTGTATTAACAAAAATGTTTAAATTTATTTTCCAAACCAGTGACCTTGACCCTAGAGACCACTTACTCCACAAAAAATTAGAAGACCATTAAAGGTAATAACTGGGAAATATGGATGACACAGTTATATAACTTGGCAATATCATGCACTTTGTATTGATAAGTAAGTGTGGAAATTATGAAGCCATTAGTATAGATAGAACTTAAGATATTTCCAACTTGCTGTTTTAGGTTAACCATTATTCATTTTCTAAGTGCTGAAAAGGGCAATAACTTGGTAAATATGGAAGCCACAGTTATGTAACTTTACCAGATCATGTACTTTGTATTGATAAGTAAGTGTGTAAACTAAGAAGCCATTGGTACAGGTAGAACTTAAGAAAAATCCAACTTGCCGTTCTAGGTTAACCTCGTACGGACAGACAGTTCAATTACTATATGCCCGGGGGCATAATAAAAACAAGAAACATGGCAATGCCATGAAACCAGGTTTTCAATTATCACCATTGTAGATAAATATGTTGTATTTGAAATACAAATACAAGCAACAAACAATGTAACTATGTGCAATGTAAACCATGAATAATGTAGGAGGAATTGCGCACAGAAGAAGTGTTGACTATATATATTCTGTATAAGGAAAAAAAACAAAGGGCCATAATTAGGTAAAAAATTATCCAATCACAAAACCCCGACAATATGTGCTAGGTCACTTGATGACAAAGCTTCTTTGAAAGTTTGAACAAAATCCGTTGAGAAATGTAGGAATAGTTCAGCACAGAAGAATTTGTTCAATTCTGTATGAGGAAAAAAAACAAAGGGCCATAATAAGGTCAAATATTATCCAATCACAAAACCCTGACAATATGCGCTAGGGCACTTGATGACAAAGCTTCTGTGAAAGTTTGGTCAAAATCCGTTGAGAAATGTAGGAGAAGTTGCACACTGTAGATATTGTTCACTATATATTCTATATAATGAAAA